AAAAATAAAAAATTTATTTTTTAAAATGTATTGAAACCCTTGTGCTTCTGGTGCTTTTCCTATGAGTGTCAGTTTAGGCATTTGTGAAGTCTGACCATGCTCTATACTGACCAGCTTCAAAGTTTCATTTTGATATTCCCAAAATCGATAAAAGATTGTTCCAAAAAATTGAATCTCATTTGAGAAATTCAGCAGGTTATTGGTAAGAGTACTAGCATGCTTAGCAGCCATGCAGTCTATCCTGGCAAGTACACTTGGCTGCTTAAATTATTATTCTGAAACAGTTCTAAAAAATTTACTATTCTGAGACAGATTCAAATTTCTTAGTAGGGCAAGATCAGTATGTCATTTCAACAGCCATTAATGACTAAAAGTTAAATTTAAACTTTAACTGCAACAACAGTCAAACATGAGTTCAGTTTTTATTATGATATATTTAAGGCCTCAGGGCTATTTATAAATTTGAAAGTTTATTGATGAGGAATACATTTAGTTCGGTGGTGGTCAAAACATCTAGGTCAAACTACATAAATATACATTCACATAAACATGAATTATTTTGCTTAATCTTCACCAACTTGCATCATAGTACATGTATGTATATGTATGATTCTACAGCTTAAAATGCTAGTACATGTACATGCTGATTTATATACATTGTAATTTTGTACATCAATTTAGTGGTTGATACTGTAAAATTACTCCGGGAAGAAGCATTTTTATATAGCAGTACTGAACAATAATGCTTGTATAAAATCAGAATTATTGTTAATTTGTTTACAGGTATAAGAAAATGGAAACATCTACTTGCAGGCACGAAGTATTTAAGGTGGATTCCCACAGCTCATGATATTTGTTTTACCAATAACTTTTCATCATTATTTTTTTCTCTTGGCAAGTGAGTAATTCTTTTTATAGTATTCATACTGTTTAAGGAATTGTTAAATATTCTGATGATAAAATGTCAAAAAATTTTTTAGCTCAGAGTGAGCTTTTAGGATCGTTGAATGTCCTTAGTCTGTCATCTGTCATCCGTCGTCTGTCTACATGTTTGTTAACACTCTAGTAGTCACATTTTTGCCTCAATTATCATCAAACTGTGTCAGGATGCTTGTCTAGGTAATTGCTCGGATGAGTTCGAACATGGGTCATCTTGGTTAAAAAACAAGGTCGCAGGAGCTAAAAATAGAAAAATCTTGTTACCACTCTAGTGGCTACTGTTTTGATCCAAATATCCTTGAAAATGGTCTTCCAGTTTGTTTTAATGATTTCTAGGTCAAGTTCAAATATGGGTCAACTTGGGTAAAAAACTTAAGTCACAAGTCATAAATATGGGAAAACCTTGTTAACACTCTAGTGGTCACATTTTGACTCAATTGTCATCAAAATTGGCCAGGATGCTTGTCTAGGTAATTGCTCGGATGAGTTTAAACATTGGTCATATAGGATGAAAAACTAGGTCACAGGAGCTAAAAATAGAAAAATCTAGTTAACACTCTAGTGACTACTGTTTTAATCCAATATATCCAGGAAATTGGTCTGCTAGTTTGTTTTGATAATTTCTAGATCAAGTTTGAATATGGGTCACCTGGGCTCAAAAACTAGGTCACACTGCCCTAATATGGAAACACCTTGTTAACACTCTTTTGGTCACATTTTTGACTCAATTGTCATCACACTTTGTCAGGATGCTTGTCTAGGTAATTGGTTGGACGAGTTCGAACATGGGTCATCTCGGATGAAAAAACTAGGTCACAGGAGCTAATAATAGAAAAATCTTGTTAAGTAAGTAAGTAAGTAAGTAACGACTTTATTTCATGAGGCTAACACATTCAGTTTCCCGATCTTCCATGCTGGCCTCAGTATATACAAAACAACATAAAATACAATCAACATTGTTAACACTCTAGTGGTTACTGTTGTTATCTAAATATCCTTAAAATTGGTGGGCAAGTTTGTTTTGATAATTTCAAGGTCAAATTGGAATATGGGTCACCTTGGGTCAAAACCTGGGTCACACAGCCTATATATGGAAACAACTTGTTAACACTCTTATGGTCACATTTTTGACTCAATTGTTATCAAACTTGGTCAGGATGCTTCACAAAGTAATTGCTCAGATGAGATTGATAGGTCAGGTGAGCGATCAAGGGCCATCTTGGCCCTCTTGTTGTTATTAAACCCTTTTGAGAAGGGGTACTTTTACCTTTAAAAATCCCAAAACAATTCCCCGTTTTTTATTTTTGAAAGGGGGGGGGGAAATTTTTTTCCTTTGTTGAAAATTTTTTTTCCTTTCACTTTCTTTCACACTGTCAAATTTTTTGGGGAATGGAAAAGTCAGGGCATGGAGGGGCAAAAAAAAAAACCCCGATAAATTTGTCGACACTGAAAAAACAACGGGGGAAAGGACTTGTCTTGATCACTGTACATACTATCAAACTTTAATCATAGGGGATATTAATTGAAAACAAGATTTTCCATTTACATATATCAAATACCAATATTGCATGGTATATTTCAAACTTGTCAGTATATTTTACTAATAAAACGATTTGAGCCGTGACATGACATTTCCAACATAGTGGTCAAATTTGACATTTTACTTTTTTCAAAGATTCTCAAAATGCAATCTTTTCTAAATCATTCAAGACAAATTTTATTATCTTTAGACAAAGAAAACTTGATTTATAATGCTTTTTAACATTATAAGTGACGTCGTTTTATTAGACGGATCAAAAATGCAACGTGAATAAACTGAATCATCGTTTTGCTTGACATATATTCCCATATACATGTATCTTAGCATGTAAATTATTAACGTTACTAACAAAGAAGCTCACATTTTTTTTTTTTTGTTAAATAGTACCGTGTCAATTGTAAGCCATCTTAAGTACATGTAACAACTTGTTGCACGAATAGACATATACAAGTATATAGAAAGCCTTGACTGTCTTATTATTATAAACCTGAACGTTGTTACGTCCAACTAGCAATATATTGAGTCAACCTTTCCGTATACAATGTGCACTCATTAAGTATATTATGTGGATTTATCTTTATATGTAGTCAAATCTGAACAATATTTGATGTCAATGTGTCTTTATATTGATGTCAATATATCATTATACGATTGTGCATTTTTTGAATATAGTATGTGGAAACCATCCTTATATAAGGTCAAAAATACTCAGGTAATGAATGTGCACAGAAATACCAACATTTATGTTTAAAAAAATTGCAGGAATAAATAAAAAATGAGATATCACTTTTTGAATACATTCAAGAATCATCTTATTTCCAAAGACATGATATAAACATACAATTTAAATACTGCGTAACTGTGACATCATATCCTCAAAGCAGCATGCTCATGATTTTTGCTCTTATTTTCATGAAAATTTTAGATATATAAAAAATAGTCCTTGCTGTGTTAGTAACGCAGTAAAAATATGATGAAAAAAGCTGAATGCTCAGTCAAGCTTCGGTAATATTCGTCTTCTTTACGAGAAATTGTTCTGGAATAATGGTCAATACAAGGTCATCTGATAGGTTTTAGGACGGCGTTATTACTGTGAATAGTCATAAACGTTTTACTCAAAAATGTGCGTACAAGTAAATAGAGGATATTTAGTTGTTCTGTAAAAATGCTATGTTATATCACACAAAGAAGTAAGAGAATTATTTTTCACGAGTGCGTATGGATTGTCACGTCGTTGTATCATTATATAAATGTTCATGTATACCATACGGCTTCTTTCAACAATTTACGATGCCATATTCTCAGAGACCAAAACTGGTATTGCAATAATTATTATAAAACAAGACAAAATTATTTCGGTTTATTTTCTTCCCATTTAATTTTATATAAAGCAGGAATGTATTTCAACAACTTCAAGTGTCTTACTCACATTCACTTAACAGAACAATTGTCTCTTAATTATATACTCTTATTATTTTATGTCAGTTAAGTTAAACAATTATACCAACGTAATGTAATATCTTCCCTATTCTATTGACATTAAAGTGTTTATTCTGATTTATATAATGTATATCAGCCCCTACATGTTACTATATACATGTATATGATTAAAGAGAAATACTTGGAAAACAACTTGACATTGGAAATAAAATAACAATCGAAAGACTAAATGGGATAATTGTCAAATTACTTAAAGTAAGTAAGCCCTGAAAGTGTTCACTGTCGCAAGGACAATATATCAAGTGTCGTTTGAACAGATGAAATTAAATTTGTCAACTCATAAATTTCCTTGAAATTCTCTATCTTATGGTACTTAAAATACGATTGAGCAAATGTCTGTCAATGGTTAAAGGTTTCCCGAAAAAGTTTATCAGCGCAGTTGTTACTTAAAAAAAATGCGTTTAACAGCGGAATAATGTCATCATTGTGGAGGAAAAAAATCACTTTAGTTCAGTAATTGTCATTGAATAGAGAAATATGCTTTGAAAGAACAAGATACACAATACATTTATAGGGAAACTTACGGAATCATAACTTAATACGTAGGCCACAAAAAATCGGCAAAGCTATGTTAACAACACTATGTGTGATATACCCTGAATACAATGGGTTTCATATCACTAAATAGGAAACCAGACTTTCATTTATAAACATAAACTATTACAATGATTTGACAGAGTATTTCTTCCCCAAAATCAACGGTGTTTCCATTAATTTACCTATTGGGGAAATTTTTTAATCGGGTCAGGGGGGGCCAGATGACCCGCGTGCTATACAAGGGCATTTTGGGATGACTTAAAATTTCGCCGTTTTTGAATGAATTTTAAATTTTATACATTTAAAGTACGAAAATATTTAGGGGGTTTTTGGGAAAAAATCCCCCAAAGGTTTTAAAAACCCTTTCCTTGGGGAAAACCTCCCCAATTGGCATTCCCTTTTGGGAGGAAATTTTAAATCTTTTTAAAAAAAAATTTATGAAGCAAATTAATTTAAATTTAAAAAGTAACAGCCCAAACTTTTGAAAAAAATACCCTTTCGTTAACAACAGTAATTCCAAAAACGGGTACCCTTAAAGGGTCGGATTAAGAGGTAGTAATTCCCTTTCCCAAATTTATTAAAACATTTTTTAAACAATATCTCTTTTTTATTATCTTTTTAAAAACATTAAATTTAAAATTAAACGGGGGTTAAAACCCAAGGAATAGGCAAACGAAAGGGGCCCAAAAAACGCAAAAATTATACTTCCGTTTTTGTTTTATTTTATATCTTTATACAGATAAAGAGATTTTTGTTTTTACAAGTTATTTCCGGGACGTTTGCAAAAATTGTCGAGGGTTTCCCAATTTCTTTCACTGACATTTTCAGTTTGCAATTGACGTGAAAATGGGGGACCCCTTTTTTCCTTTGTTTCTTTTTAATCATATTTAAAAAAAATTTATAAAATATTTCGGGAAAAATTTATAGTTTCAGATTTTTTTTCCTTTAAAAAACCCTACACAGTGATGTTTGGAAAAAAAACCGATTTATTTTTTTCTTTAAGAAAAAATTTTGGCATCAATTTTTACTTTGGCGTTTCTACGATTAGTCTTTTAAACCATTTATTTTGGAAATATCATACAGGGCTAAATTTTTGTGTATTTTTCATTTGACAAAGCTTTGATTTTTTTGCCATATATTTTACAGCAGAATAAAGTTTGTTTTCCCAAGCCCAAAATTAGTATATTTTTTCCTAAAATCACTATATTTTAACCCTGAAATGTCCAATACACATGCTTCCTCAGAACCATGACTTGTATTAGCTTGTTGTTTAATATAATTGACTGAAAGCTGTCCATATAGATAGCCTCTGCTATGTACCATGTATGATAAATTTTATGGCAATTGAGAATCTTATTAAATGTGTGGTTAAATTCCATTCTCAGTTGTTGGATTTTGATTTCAGGTTTTCCCCCTTTTCTGATTTAATATACTATATTTTCCCCTTCAGAAAGCCACAACTTGTTTTGAAAATTAAAAAAAAAGTCACTGCAAAAGTAAATACAGCTGTGCCAAAAGTAATATTGATTTTGAAACGTAATCCTATACAAACAGATGAGATTTATATTCCGGGAATCAAAAATGTGTTTGTTTCTTGTACATCATAGATGCGTTCCTGTTGTACGGGGAGATGGTGTGTACCAGAGAGGTACAAATTTCTGTCTGGAAAAACTAAACAAGGGTGATTGGATACATGTATTTCCAGAAGGTATATATTTATCATTAAACTACATGTATATGTATATGATTTTATTTATGCATGGCCCAGTATTTCATCAAAAAGTGCATGTTTTTTTTATATGCCCGAGAGAATTTCGGGCATATTATGTTATACCCCCTGGAGTCCGTCCGTCCGTTAGCAATTTGGTTTCCGGAGCATAACTTGAGTTCCATTTGGCCCACAGTATTCAAACTTCATAGGATGATTGTCCATATTGGGTAGAAGACCCCTATTGATTTTGGGGTCACAAGGTCAAAGGTCAAGGTCACTATGACCTTAAAACTGAAAACAGTTTCCGGAGCATAACTTAAGTTCCATTTGGCCCACAGTGTTCAAACTTAATAGGATGATTGTCCATATTAGATAGAAGACTCCTATAGATTTTTGGGTCACAAGGTCAAAGGTCAAGGTCACTATTACCTTAAAACTGAAACCAGTTTTGGGGGCATAACTGGCCCACATTTTTCAAACTTTATAGGATGATTGTCCATATTAGGTAGAAGACCCCTGTTGATGTTGGGGTCACAAGATTTAAGGTCACTGTTACTTTAAAACTGAAAACAGTTTCCAGGGCATAACTTAAGTTCCATTTGGTCCACAATATTGAAACTTCAAAGGAGGATTGTTTTGTGAAGGAGGTAATACTTTATTTAATTCCCATGTCTTACAAATGCTTCATCTTAACTAAAAAAAAACCATCACTTTCGGGCATATAATGCTCCGCTTAGTGGTGCTCTTGTTTAAAATCATGCACTAAGCTAAGACCTGGGTATAATTCTACTCGATGAAATATAAATTATATAATATATATGTCAAAATTACTGTACAATTTAAGAATGTGTTTACAATTATTAAACTTTCAATAAAGCTTTCACTGCATCAGTAACATTGTGTAGGGGTCTGTCAGGTTTTTGATTGATAGACACTGGGCTGAAATACTATTGAAAGAAAAGCAAACTATAAAGTTCAAGTTATTCTGTGTAAACAACTGTATTCCTAGAAAATTTTTGTGGAAACAATAGTTTTTCATAAGGATGGCGTTTTCGTGGAGATTAAGATAATGATATGATAATTATTTCTGATACATGACAACACATTTTTATATTTCTATGTGATATGGTATATATATTTTGTTTGTTTTTGGTGGGTTTTTTTCACATCCTATTCATAAGTCTGAAGACATTTTACATAAATATGTCATTATCTTGCAGGTAAAGTCAATGCAGAACATCTGAGAATGAGGCTGAAGTGGGGTAAGGGTTTACTCTTAAGGTAGTCTTACTAGTAACTGTAAATTGCTTTCCCGCCAAAAAAATCTTAACATTGGCCAATAATGTAGCAAATCAGTTATTTCTGGAATGTTTTTTTTTTTTTCAAAATTTTGGGAATTACATTATATACAATCATTCATCCGTACTAAATTCGGATAATAATAAACGGTTAAAAATTATTGAATACAGAAGATTGTGAAAAATAACACTCAGGAAATGACCGATTGATTATGATATTGGCCAATGATAGAAATCCTTTGGCGGGAAAGCATTGCAGTAAGACTATCTTAAAGGAACTTCACTGAGGTTTCTTTACTTGATAGGACTGGAAATATTTTTCCTATATTTATGTTCTTTTGATGTAGATCTAGAGAAATAACTTGTGTGAAAAAAATTCAGACCATTTGCTCACTCTGTTTTTTTTTTCTAGAAAAAATATTTTAAGAGGAAAAATGACAAAAAAGAGAAGTGGCTTTTCATTCAAATCAGACTAATAACTGCACACAAATACAAATTGTTTTTTTTTTCTTGGAAATATTTTACATATCTGTCTATTTTAATGTCCCTGTTGACCTATGTATGAAATTCAAATTTTATTTTTTTATGGTTTTGGACCTTGTTTAACTTATTTATTTTCTTTCAGTTGTGATGAAAGTTAAAAGTTTGCTTGAACCACTCTCAAAACTAACCATGACTGGTATTTAGATGAAGAAACTTGAACATGATTCTAGTTGGGCTCAAACACAAGGATTGAGAGGCAGACACCTTAACCACTAGGCCCCAATCTGCTTTTAACTCTTTGAATTCTAGAAACAATGAAGTGCAGCTCTATGCCTGCAGTACATAGCCAGGCAAGACTCTAGGGAGTTGACTGCATAATTATATCATATTTGTGTCTCTACTTCACCGTGGATGAACAAGTTTTGTCACGTGACCACAAATGCAAACGTCGATTTGTGATTTTGGCATACACGGACCCGATTTCAGGTAATCATTTGCAGATATCTTTTTTTCCACTGCGAACACAAAAATAAGACATAGACCGTAGGACCCGGCGTAAATTAAGCTTTTATTTTATGTGAGTAGTCATTACTAGACTTAAGTAGTTTTTTAGAACACTTCGACACAATTTTTCTTTTTGCAAGGCAAACGCCGATAGCTTTTATCTTTTCTAATCTTTTTTGTTCACTGAAAACCCATGTAGAGGGAAAATAATAGAAGATATATCTTTTTACAAGAAATTCTCGTCCCTAACTTATTAATAATTCCATTGGCATGGTTATATTCGATATAACACATGTTTTTTCACTTAGTGTCGATTTTGCAAACGTCGTTTGATCATGAGAAATATGCAAACGTCGGTTGGTCATTTGAAATATATACAATGATAAAGTGAACAGACTGTAATAGAAGGTGTGTTAAAGAATGAATGTTGATAGTATTTCGTATCAGACAATGCAGATTCTAGGACATTTGCCCCGGACAGTTGCCCTCCGGATGTTTGCCCCCTCTTTTCCCTTGTGATTTGTCACTTGTCATCTCGTGCATAGATTTTTTAGTATTATTTGTTTATGGATGCTATTTTGACTTTCACAAATTTGCGCGAGTTTTTGTGTATTTAAGCACCATGAAATTTCCACAATAGGCGATGAATTATGGTAGCAAACAATTCAACAATAAAATATATTTTTGAACAGGGAGGGGGGGGGGGCAAATGACCGCCCCTTCCAAATATAAGAGGGGGCAAATGACCGCCACTGCAAAAAGGGGGCACACTTTCGAGGGGGCATCTGTCCGAAGGGCAATGTGTGGATACCTAGCAGACCACGAAAGACTTACATATGTATATTGTTGGCAAGTGTAAGATACATGAACCGAAACTATATCTTATGTAGCAGATTATAAAGTGTTCTGGAATAAAATATGATCGTTAATCATAAAATGTTTTAAACTAAATCAATTATAACTTTATAAACATTTTAAAATCGTAATGAGTATGCTGTGATTTCTGCTACTAGTATATAGTTTCATAGATATGAACTTGAAGCGTCCATTTTGTTATATTATGAACTTAATTACAGAATAACTATTACTTTAAAAATGACGCGATTAAATAAATGTTAAATGTGTCCTAACTTTGATATGCTACCCATTTTTTTATTCAAAGATTGAATATAGGGATGCTGGAATAATTTCTTAGTTAAAAGAGTTCTAATATTTGATTGCATTTCATGTTTTCTTTGTCTGCACATAGGCAGGTCTATTTTTTCACGTGTATTTCATGACCGGGTCTGTCTGACTAGAACAGACCTGTGCACGTGCAAAAGATAGACATCATAACGGACTTTCTTTTGTTTAAACAGGTCTATCCGAAAAATATAGACCTGTCACAAACAATAGAGGAGGTGTGTAAGCAAGGATAAAGTGTAGCTGTCGTAAAAAATTAACATACTAGTAAATGATATTTTGATGCAACTATGTATAAAACTCTGGTGCCGTGCAAAATTAATTATAATACATAAAAATAAACTTAGACAGGAAAATACATACAGATATACAGTACGATTTAGATTGCAAAGATCAGAAAATACCACAGAACTTGCAGCCCTTTGATTCATTATAAATTTACATGCTTATAGTAAGCTCCAGGACTATTTACATTTGTGTTAAACAACAGTTCAAGTCGTTACAAGCCCTAATTTAGAATAATATGGTTTTCTTCAGGCCGTTCACATATAAATTCACCGTGGCTGAAGGGTTTTCGGCAATATAGTGGAGACCTCAATGATGGCTGCAGTGGTGAAAGTTTACGTTTCGTTCTATTTGAATTTGGTGTTGGCTTTGGCGTGAGTTTTCGTCCGAGGCGTTTACTTTTATATAAAGGTGAACGGTATGTTTGTGCGAACGGTGATTTTCTTGGTGAAAATTTACGCTTTTTCAGTGATGATGGCTTGGGGGAAAAATCTTCGCCGGTGTGAAAATGTCCAACTTGATAAGATTTATGTTTGCGTTTTGGGCGATGCAACGCAAGTTTTGACTTCCTCTTCGCCATCTGAAATAAAAAACAAACTAAATTTTAATTAAGCAAACACAATATAGTCCAGCGTTCAAAAAGACATCAACGGGCGCTTGTATATATTTCAAATGACCAACCGACGTTTGCATATTTCTCATGATCAAACGACGTTTGCAAATCGACACTAAGTGAAAAAACATGTGTTTATATCGAATATAACCATACCAATGGAATTATTAATAAGTTAGGACGAGAATTTTCTTGTAAAAAGATATATCTTCTATTATTTTCCCTCTACATGGGTTTTCAGTGAACAAAAAAGATTAGAAAAGATAAAAGCTATCGGCGTTTGCCTTGCAAAAAGAAAAATTGTGTCGAAGTGTTCTAAAAAACTACTTAAGTCTAGTAATGACTACTCACATAAAATAAAAGCTTAATTTACGCCGGGTCCTACGGTCTATGTCTTATTTTTGTGTTCGCAGTGGAAAAAAAGATATCTGCAAATGATTACCTGAAATCGGGTCCGTGTATGCCAAAATCACAAATCGACGTTTGCATTTGTGGTCACGTGACAAAACTTGTTCATCCACGGTGTACTTGGTGATGGGATTTTATCATGAAAATTCCAGTAAATTGTGAAAATTTACCGAAACTAGCTCCCCCTTTTATTCATATATGGTATTTTATGGGGAAAAAACAACAAAATTTGTATGTGTATAGTCATTTAAAAAGATAAATGTTTGAAACAGTTTGTAAAAATTTTCCAATATATGCATTTTTATGATAACCATGCTAAATTTTTATGCCCCCGGGCATATAGTGATTGAACCGTCCGTCCGTCTGTCCGTACGAGGTTAACCTAGAACGGCAAGTTGGATTTTTCTTAAGTTCTACCTGTACCAATGGCTTCTAAGTTTACACACTTACTAATCAATACAAAGTTCATGATCTGGGCAAGTTACATAACTCTGGCTTTCATATTTACCAAGTTATTGCCCTTTTCAGCACTTAGAAAATGAATAATGGTTAACCTAAAACGGCAAGTTGGAAATATCTTAAGTTCTATCTATACTAATGGCTTTATAATTTCCACACTTACTTATCAATACAAAGTACATGATATTGCCAAGTTATATAACTGTGTCATCCATATTTCCCAGTTATTTCCCTTTTTTCACTTTGAAAATAGGGCCTTGTCTGGTTAACCTATTTCAGCAAGTTGGATTTATCTTAAATTTCTCCTAATTGCTTAATTTCTTTAATGATATCTTTCATATTTAGTAGGTGGATACCTTTGATGATCCTCTAATTTTTTGTGGAGTAAGCGGTCTCTAGGGTCAAGGTCACTGGTTTAAAAAATAAATATAAACATTTTTGCTCATACAGCCTTTATATTTTAGTTGATGTCTTAGTTTAAAACAAACATGCCAAGGGAGGTCCTCCTTATTTGGGTGTAGTAAGGGGTCATTTGGGTCAAGGTCAATGTTACTAATGTCAAGGTCACCAATGTAAAAAATAGATTTTTACATTTTTTACAGGTGTTTTGACCTTATTCTATAGACAGATGTTATTAATAATTGATAGAAACATAAACTTTGATGAAGTTAGTGGTCAGTTGGGTCAAGGTCACCAGTGCTAAAAATAGATTTTTACACACATTTGCTCATACAGCCTTTATTAAGTGACAGATATATTTTATATTTGGTAGGATGATAACTTGCATGGTATTCATCCTTTTGATTGGGGTAGGAAGGTAGTCTAGTACTGGTGTAACTCTCCAGGAACGATGGTTAGGAAACTACCCGCCTATATGACTGAAATACTGTTGGAAAAAGGCGTAAAATGAAACAAACAAACAAACAAACAAAAATTGGGGTAGGGATCAGTGGGTCAAGGTCACTTGTGCTTAAAATAGATTTTTACACTTTTGCCCATACAGCTTTTATTTATTGACATGTATTTCATATTTGCTAGGAAGATAACTTGCATGGTATTCTTCCTTTGGATGGATTAAGGGTCAGTTGGGTCACCAGTGCTAAAAATAGATTTTTACACTTTTGCCCATACATACTTGTGTTTACAATTTTTTGGCAATTTTTCTGTCCATAACTGAGTGAATGGGTAAACATTTTTTGAAATATTGCTACTGACAAGAATCTGAGCCGGGGGCATTTGTGTTTAACAAACACGTTCTTGTTCTAATATAGTAGGCATGGGTTATGGTTGAATAAAAGTAAAGAAAAAAACAGTAATAAAATTGTAGTGTGGTTTTCAAAAAAGTAAGAAAAAAAAGTAATAAATGTGTGTTGTGGGAAAACTTTAATGTTTATGTAAGTGATGACACAACTATGAATAATAATATCTGTCATATGTTGCGGTTCGGACCGGAATATCTGTCCCGAGGGGACCCGCCCATTGGGCGGGTTCCTGAGGGACGGATATTCCGGTCCGAACCGCAAACATTTGTCAGATATTTTTTCTTGCATATTCTGCCATATTATTATCCCCCGCTGATGGAATCGGGAGGGGGATATAGTTTTGGCGTTGTCCTTCCGTCCGTCCGTCCGTCCATCTGTCCGTCCGAATTTCGTTTCCGGAGTAGTTCTCTGCAACTACTGACTGGAATTCAACGAAACTTTATGGGAATCATCAATATCAAGAGGAGATGCGCATCTGACCGTCCGTTCGTCCATCCGTCCGTCCGAATTTCGTTTCCGGAGTAGTTCTCTGCAACTACTGGCTGGAATTCAACGAAACTTTATGGGAATCATCAATATCAAGAGGAGATGCGCATATGGTCGGCTTGTTCCGGTCAGACACTTTAACTCAGAGTTATTGCCCTTGATTAGTTAAGTAGTATGCATATAGAGTAAAAATCGTTTCCGCACTACTTCTCTGCAACTACTGGCTGGAATTCAATGAAACTTTATGGGAATCATCAATACCAAGAGGAGATGCGCATATCATCGGCTTGTTCCGGTCAGACACTTTAACTCAGAGTTATGGCCCTTGATTAGTTATGTAGTATGCATATGAGGTAAAAATCGTTTCCGCGCTACTTCTCTGCAACTACTGGCTGGAATTCAACGAAACTTTATGGGAACCTTCAATATCAAGAGGAGATGCGCATGTCGTCGGCTTGTTCGGGTCAGACACTTTAACTCAGAACTAGTTATGGCCCTTGATTAGTTATGCAATATGCATTTGGAGTAAAAATAATTTCCGGAGTAGTTCTCTGCAACTACTGGCTGGAATTCAACGAAACTTTATGGGAATCATCAATATCAAGAGGAGATGCGCATATCGTCAGCTTGTTCCGGTCAGACCCTTTAACTCAGAGTTATGGCCCTTGATTAGTTATGTAGTATGCATATAGAGTAAAAATCGTTTCCGCACTACTTTCTCTGCAACTACTGGCTGGAATTCAACAAAACTTTATGGGAACCTTCATACCAAGAGGAGATGCGCATATCATCGGCTTGTTCCGGTCAGACACTTTAACTCAGAGTTTTTGGCCCTTGATTAGTTATGCAGTATCCATATAGAAAAATATTTGTTTCCGCGCTACTTCTCTGCTACCACCAGCTGGAATTCAATGAAACTTTATGGGATACTAAAAGGAGATGTGCATATAGTCGCCTTGTTCCAGTCAGATACTTATAACTCAGATTTATTGCCCTTGATTAGTTATGTAGTATGCATACATCTCATTGGCATTTCCAGATTTTACTATTTAACACAAAGTTATGGCTCTGTTATTTCCCTGAATATTTATCAAGTTCAAAGAATATTACTGTTTATGCCACGATTAATATATAAATAAAGCCTTATGTCTTCAGTTGTTGTGTTAATAATAACCAGTACTCGGCGGGGGATATAAATTCAACGAATTTGCTTGTTTCATATTTAAAATGGTTTACCTCAATAAGATATTTGTTCATGGAAATTAAAGTCATTTCATCCATAACTATTTTCTTACAATAGTGTATGAACTTACAACTTAAATAACAACGGCGAAATGACGTCATCCTAAGTACATATTTCCCTTCTAAAATGACGTCATAAAGTGCGCAAAAATGACGTTGTTTGGCATGCAACTCATCTGGCACCCCCCCATGCCAGATGAAATTTTCGGCATGGGTAAAACTCGCTGAAACGCCAGCCTGCTATGCAATAAATATTATTTGTTAATTTATGATATAATAATAAGACATGTTTTTGTTTCATTCTTTCAGGAGTTGGTAGACTCATAGCAGAATGTGACACGCCTCCAATAGTATTACCTATGTATCATATGGGTAAGAATTTTGTAATGTTACCTCTTTTTTGTCCATGTCAGTACAATTGGGATGTTGAAATAATGTTGTTTCACATAAATTGGCAAAAATGAGTCACTAGGAAAACAGACATGTTGTTAAATTTTGAATGGTTATTCACACTGCATTTTTGAGAAAAATTGTAATTTTTAGCTCGACTATTCGATAAGAATAAGTAGAGCTATTGCAGTCACCCGAGCGTCCGCGTCGGCGTAACCACTTATGTTAAAGTTTTTGTAATAGTTCAAATATTTTCAAAGTCCATTGACATATGGCTTTGAAACTTTGCACACTTGTTCACCATCATGACCCCAACCTGTAGACAGGAGGAGGTAACTCTATCAAGCATTTTGACAGAATTATGCCCCTTTTTCGACTTAGAATTTACGTTAAAGTTTTTGTAATAGTTCAAATATTTTCAAAGTCCATTGACATATGGCTTTGAAACTTTGCACACTTGTTCAACATCATGACCCCAACCTGTAAACAGGAGGAGGTAACTCTATCAAGCATTTTGACAGAATTATGCCCCTTTTTCGACTTAGAATTTACGTTAAAGTTTTTGTAATAGTTCAAATATTTTCAAAGTCCATTGACATATGGCTTTGAAACTTTGCACACTTGTTCACCATCATGACCCCAACCTGTAAACAGGAGGAGGTAACTCTATCAAGCATTTTGACAGAATTATGCCCCTTTTTCGACTTAGAATTTACGTTAAAGTTTTTGTAATAGTTCAAATATTTTCAAAGTTCATTGACATATGGCTTTGAAACTTTGCACACTTGTTCAACATCATGACCTCAACCTGTAAACAGGAGGAGGTAACTCTATCAAGCATTTTGACAGAATTATGCCCCTTTTTCGACTTAGAATTTACGTTAAAGTTTTTGTAATAGTTCAAATATTTTCAAAGTCCATTGACATATGGCTTTGAAACTTTGCACACTTGTTCAACATCATGACCCCAACCTGTAAACAGGAGGAGGTAACTCTATCAAGCATTTTGACAGAATTATGCCCCTTTTTCGACTTAGAATTTACGTTAAAGTTTTTGTAATAGTTCAAATATTTTCAAAGTCCATTGACATATGGCTTTGAAACTTTGCACACTTGTTCACCATCATGACCCCAACCTGTAAACAGGAGGAGGTAACTGTATCAAGCATTTTTTTTACTATCAAGCACTAAGAATAGTCGAGCGTTGCTGTCCTACTGACAGCTCTTGTTGTAGAAAATGTCTGTATACCAGATGTGTGTTTTAAGAAAAGGGGAATAGGGAACCACGAAACAATGATATCATATTTAAGCTTTTATCATATACTCGATACTTTTTGTATTGCTGTGAGGAGATCTTGCAAAGTCATAAAAGGCTAGAGGTAAGATTTATGGTGCCTGCCTGTATCTAAGTCTGTTGATGGGGTGGACAAGAGCTCCTCAATAGAAAAAGGTAGTGATAATGTTCTACCAGACAAATCACCTGATGGTTGTAATGGTATTCTTATATCACCAGTTTATATACCCAGGTCAGTCATCATTTCCTGATTATCAGATCAGGCTCTATACTTTAAGCTGCACAATACAAAGAAGTCCCTCTCCAATAAATAGAGAATAACATGCTACTGTCTTTTGATATCAATTTTATCAGGCGAGGCTGATATGGGCTAGAAAGGGCGAGGCTTGCCGAGCCCTTTCTGCCCATATCAGCCGAGCCTGATAAAATTGATATCAAAAGACAGTAGCATGTTTTTCTATTTATCATGTAACACATAATAACTGTCAAAATAACAAAATAATCTACTTTTAAATAGCGAATTTTGTTAAAAAGGGGTTTTGTTCAAAGAAATAATTCTTGAAAACAAATTCCTCCGCCCCTGAAACTTAGAATTTGTAAATGGCGGCCATTTTTTCTTTCGACTCGGATAAAAGATACAACAGAATGTAGGCCTAATACGATAAAATTCTTACCTTTAATTTAAACATCGATCCAAAAATCCACTTAGAATCACATAAACTAAACTTTACTGCAATTTTGTCTTGAATTGTCAAATTCAAAAGTTCACGATAATTTCAATCAAAGAAATCAAATCGGCAATCAAACACAAGCTACACAACCATGCGTCTTATTTTTTAATCGAAACAATTTCTTCACTTATTAAATAATAATCCGGCGAAATAAAGTAAACATTTACAAGTTCTCAAAGAAAATCGTCTAGCCTGTTTGTTATGATTACATGTATAGTATGACGTGAACATCGATGATGTCATTTGCAATATAAATTATGACGTCACTTCATTTAGTTGGTGCTTAAACTATTCGCTATCTAATTTATTCGTAATTGAAATCGAAATAATAAATGAATAAATATCGCACCGTGATTCAAGACTTGTAAGGCCTTAGGGTATGAGATTACATTGTAGAATTCACATGCTGATGAAAATGAGAATATAAGCAATTGAAAAAAGTCCGTTAAAATGGGCGGGGCTTATTTTTGATATCAGGTTACTGACCTGATATCAAAAATAATTATCAGGCAAGTGTTATCGGGCAGTTACCATAGCAGTTGCATGATAAATTTCATTCTTACTTAATTGAAAAAAATATATTCAGGAAAATTGTGTCATATAATACACCTATTTATTGAATTGGGTTATATAATTATACCTATTCAATGAATAATACCAAGTTTTAATGTTACAGTTACATAATACTCATTTTGTGCCGTTGAGTTTGATTAAAAATATATTTCAAAAGATTGACTGTTATAATGGTGATTAACCAATAATTGATATAAAAATGTGAAGGACAAAATATAATAATGAAATTACTGCTCCACTCTTTTTAAAAATTTAACATTACTGACACATTCATAAGGATATTAATAGAAATGTATGTGGGTCACATGGATTATTGATTACTTTTGCATAGTAAAATATAAAAGTGAACATAATTATGGCAAAATGTAAAGTCTTTTACTTGTGCATTCACCATTTACACTTGAATGGGCATAATGTCACTTAAATTTTATATATTGTTGAAAAAATTACAAGTTTGGTAAAGTTATAAGAATAATTGAATGTTATTAATTACAGGTTTAGATGATGTTCTTCCCAATAGATCACCATATATTCCTCAGATAAGAAAAGTAAGACATCTCTTCATGTATTTTATTTCTGTCAAGTTTGCTCCTTTGATAATTGTTAACTAACTGTTTAGGATATGTTGAATAAGTTCAGTTGTTTTAAATGTGTACCTAATTACATTGACAAAATAGGTTGAAAACCTATCATCATACAAGACTACCAAGTTATGATTGTAAAAAATTACCAACCCTTTCTTACTTGTTAAATTAACTTACATGTATTTAAGATTGTCACCATAGTTTCATATAAATCATATTGTAGATTTTTTCATAGATGATCAGTCTGTTGAAATATACTCCAACCATTAAATGGTCTATTACTTGGAAATTTAAGGTTGCCTAGGCTATGGTAATATTTAACTATCTCATTAAGTACAAATACCGTGAAAGAACTTTATGTGAAGTAGTTAACTTGGGAGACTTGTGAAAGGTTAGTGGTGATTTTGTGTCTCTTAGTATGAAATAATGCACAGTCTTCCCTCCACCATTAAAGCCTGATAGTCCTCAGATGACCTTGACACTCTTGATGTGGCTTTAACTTTGGCCAAAAAGAAAAATACCTTGTCTCATTTAACATAATATAATTATGTATTGTATAATTGGCCTTACAGATCTCACTAACAATATGAATCAACTTGGCCTTACAGATCTCACTAACAATATGAATCAACTTAAACTTACAGATCTCACTAACAATATGAATCAACTTGGCCTTACAGATCTCACTAACAATATGAATCAACTTGGCCTTACAGATCTCACTAACAATATGAATCAACTTAAACTTACAGATCTCACTAACAATATGAATCAACTTGGCCTTACAGATCTCACTAACAATATGAATCAACTTGGCCTTACAGATCTCACTAACAATATGAATCAACTAAACACAGCTTATATAACTCAATCTCTGTTTCAGAATGTGACAATATTAATTGGGGAACCAGTAGATTATACAGATGATCTGAAAAGAATGCAGAATCTCAACAAAACACCTGTAATTATAGCCATTTTGTGACTCATTTTTGGCTTGATTCAAAGGGAGAGCTTTTGAACTCATCAAGGCACTAGCTTCAAACTTGTTAAGTTTTTGTGTGCAAGTTGGTATTTTTAAAACTACTGAAGGGAATGCGTTGAGAGCATAACAGGAGGTCACTGTCCAAGACTCATAAACTCCAGCCAGATTTTTGGCCCTTTTTGAACCTATAAAATTCTTCATTATCTAGTCTTTTGTTTAGTTATCAAGCACTGGGAAGTGTGAGCATGCTCTCCTATCAAAAGTTTTTTTTTGTGGGGGTGGGGGGGGGATTTTTTTCTAAGTTGAAAAGCTTAATAATATGCATGGAAGGCAAAACATTTTAAGTATATTCAACTATTGATTAAAAGAATTATAGTGATAGTTTTGTTAATATTTCAGATTGAACAAAGAAAATTTATAATATTTCAGATTGAACAAAGAAAATTTATAATATTTCAGATTGAACAAAGGAAATTTATAACAGATGATATTCAAGAAAGATTATATGAACTGAGGAAAACAGCTGAGCAGCTTCATCAAAATAGATTGATCTCAAAAGCTGAATGATACAAGAATATTGTTGTGCCTTAACTACTTAAAATTTGTATTGTTGTAACCTTAAAAGGAATGTTACATTTACTCTAGGCCTGCAAGCAGCAACTAAATTACTCATTCAACTCAACTAGTGCAGGCCAAGATCAGCTGGCATATCTGGGCAGCTAGGTTGCACTGTTGGCTATTTAGTCAGTACTTATTTTGAAATATTTCCTGAAAATATGAATGGTTTTGTACAGAATAAAAGATGGACAAGTCCATTTAAGATATTTAGCTTGGTAAGGGTTAATTAATGACACTTTTTGTAACTTAATGCATTTTTGATTATGTTTAAAGTAATTGCCTTATTCAAAATTTAGATAACATTTTAAAGGACTGATTTTTACTTAACAAGGTTTTGCATCAATCTGCAGATATATTTATTATACAGTTATTTTCATAATGTTAATTTAATATTCTTTTATAGAAACAGCATTGTTTTGTTTTTGTTTGTCAGTCTGTCTCTCAAACTTCAGCATTATGAGGCCACCGCAAGAGTGTATAGTTTTGTTTTAGTTTTGTTTTGTTTTTTGTTATTTTAAATCACAAGTTATATTTTTAGAGTATATAGCTAGGGTTGCGTACATTGTATATAGTTTTTATGCCCCCGAAGAGAGGCCTAATATAATCGCACTGTCTGTCTGTATGTCTCTTCGTACAAACCCAGAGGTACTTGTGTGACTTGGAGAACAATAGGTAACAGTAAATTCTCTTTGATCCTATTCATTAAGTTTTTACTTGTGTGTCTTTTTTTAAGCCTTGTGTGACTAAAATGGCTAAAAAATTAAAGGGAAAGTCACGTAAGTACCATTTTGTAAGTACGTCCGTCTGTCCCACTTCATTTGTGTCCGGACTGTAACTTTGTCATACATTGAGGGATTTTAAAATTAATTTGGCACAAATGTCTACCACATCAAGACGATGTGTCGCGTCAAAGAACCACGTCCCTACCTTAAAGATCAATGTCACACTATCATTTTGAAGTTTCGCATTATCGCAATAAGAGTAAATAGGTACATACATTTGTGTCTGAACTGTAACTTTGTCATGCATCAAATGATTTTAAAATAATTAGGCATAAATGTCTACCACATCAAGATGATGTGTTGCTTCCAAGAATTACATCCCTACCTCAAAGGTCACACTAACATTTTGAAGTTTCACATTATCACAATTAGAATTAATAGGTACACACAATCAGTCCGGGCTGTAACTTTGTCATGCATAGAAGGATTTTAAAAATAACTAGGCCATAAATGTTGACCAAACATCAAGACGACATGTCTCGACAAAGACCCATGTCCCTACCTTCAAGGTCAAGGTCACACTTATAGTTTGAAGGTACTCATTCTCTCGAGAAGAGTTTGAAATACACATTCATGTCCCGACTGTAACTTTGTCATGCATGGTAGGATTTTTTAAAATAACTTGGCACAAAATGTCTACCACATCAAGACAATGTGTCGCAGCTACGGTTCATGTCTGTCTGTCTGTGTGTCCCCACTTACACAACAATGATGTCCAGACTGTAACTTTGTCATGCATTGAGGGATTTTAAAATAATTTGGCACAAATGTCTCATAACATTTTGTCGCGGCCAGGAACCACATCCCTTCTTCAAAGGTCAAGGTCACACTTATATTCTGAAGGTTCATGCTATCACAATTAGAGATTACATGTACAATAATACAAAGAACAATATTCAGCAATTAGTTACTTTCATTTTCTTTTCATAATACCTGCATGCTTAAGAAACCTTTTCGGGGGGATTCGTCACTTGGGTGACAGCTCTTGTTGTATTGAGTTTTGCCCTCAGAGTTTAAACAGGTCATGTTACATATCCACGATTTCTAGTCTTTTTTTCTGTTGACAATTGGTATTATGTAAGATTTTGAAATCCCTTAAAGTGGATTGGTCTACTTTTTCTATAAGAATTTCAAATACTGATAAAAATGTATCATTTGGATATTCTAATAAAATATTGTTTGAAAAATTTTTTTATAAAGTTCTAATAGATTTAGTATGAACATCTATATGATGTATAAAAGATATTTTGTTCTAGAACATTTTATTATATACAAGTATGTAATATTGGATCATGTATCTCACAGTTGCGAACAATATCTATATATACTGGGCAGGAACCAGTTTCCGGACAATACCAGTTTCCGGACAAGTATTATAATGGCTTAATTTTGGCTTTATGACGATCGGTATTATATGTCATGAAGATGCTTGGTTTGATTGTTTGAGAAAATAAACTTCCTTCCAAGTTGATCATCATTAAAATTTTGTGAGGATATCTTACCTGTGTTTTAAAAACAGCCTTATATCCCTTTGGGGCATGTAAATTGTTCTGCGCATGCGCAATATTTTGTTTATTTCGGGATATAATTTGGGGTAGCAATTAATGCACAATGTACTTCATTCGAAAATTCATTGGGTGTAATCCTCAGAGCTAAATCTGTAACGTATCGGAAAATGGTGTTTAGCTAGGTTTACTCCACTTTCGCACTTCGTTGCTGCCGTAATCACAAAATATCCGTTTCAGCTTTTCAGTCATTCCGAGACCCATCACGTGATCGTTATTTTTTCCTATCATAAAACATTTTTCACTAAATCAGCTTAATTATATAAGAAAGCTAATATGTGAGAAGAATTTTTTTGTTATATTAGAATAATTATCAGTTAAAAACAGATATGAATAGCAGCTTAATATATGTCCGGAAACTGGTTCTGCAAGAGTGAACAATTTACACTTTTGATGACCTAATTTAACCCTTCAGTTTGTACATGGCTTACGTCACCAGGCAGTATTAATTGTGTTATCGGACGTAGTTAGAACTCGGGTTTTTGATATGATAGTTTTATTAATGCATGTTTATTATGAAAAAAAATAGACAATTAAAAAAACTCGAATTCTGTCCGGAAACTGGTTCCTGCCCAGTAATTCTTTCTTGGTTTGTTGTTATGTTTAATACTAAATACAATCGACACTATTTTTTATTGTATTACATACCTTCCACTATAGACCAATTCACTTTAAACAACAATTGATGTTAGAACAAATTTAATATATACATTTAGCATGGTTAAAAAAAGATATGAAATTGTAGGGTAATGGTTATAAAAGTTGTAAATGATAATTAAAATTTGCTAATACAACAATGATTGTAATATCTGTTCTGTTTACAATGGCATATTTCTATTGAAATTTTATTGCAGAATTTATATATGATAAAAATTGTCTTATATCTACAGGTTGTAAAAGATTGTTCATCTAATTGCATTTTGTATTTTTGTGTGTGTCCTAACAGGCTGACCTCATCTATACATTTCTTGCCAGTCCGAAAGAATCTCTAATTTGTATTTTGTTTTTAAATTTTAAAGAATAATATTATAGTACCAGCATAGTTGTGTATATCTTTATTTTACATTGCCTTTATAATTCATAGTTTAATTATTTGAAGAACAATGAGACACTGGCATTAGGATTGGTAAAAGTTTTGCTTGTATCATCAATCACTGAGAGTATCTTTTCAAACCTAACATTTGTCGTTTTGGTTCATAATTGTAGGTCACTAACAAAGAGACACATAACTCTAGAAAAGAATTTTACTGAACTATTACTCTTTCTAAAAAATTCCTGTATATCACTTTGTTATTTTTAAGGCACTGCATTTGATAGCTTTTTAGCTCACCTGTCACAAGGTGACAGGGTGAGCTTTTGTGATCGCTTTTCGTCCGGCGTCCGTCCGGTGTCCGTCCATCCGGCGTCCGTAAACTTTTACTTTGAATGACATCTTCTCATAAACCACCTAGCCAATTTCATCCAAACTTCACAGGAATGTTCCTTTGGTCACCTTTGAAAATTGTTCAAAGAATTTAATTCCATGCAGAACTCTGGTTGCCATGGCAACCAAAAGAAAAAACTTTAAATATCTTCTTCTAAAAAACCCAAAGAGCTAGAGCTTAGATATTTGGCATGAAACATCTTCTAGTGAGTGTCTACCAAGTTTGTTCAAATAAAAGCCATGGGGTAAAAATTGGCCCCGCCCCAGGGGGTCATTGATTTTCCCTATATGCATATAGTAAAAACTTAAAAGATCTTCTTTTAAAGAACCCAAAGAGCTAGAGCTAAGATATTTATCATGAAACATGTTCTAATGGATGTCTACCAAGTTTGTTCAAATAAAAGCCCTGGGGTCAAAATTTGCCCACGCCCCGGGGGTCATTGACTTTCCTTATATGTGTATAGCAAAAACTTAAAAATCTTCTTTGAAAAAAAACAAAGAGCTAGAGTTTAGATACTAAGCATGAAACATCTTCTAGTGAGTGTCTACAAAGTTTGTTCAAATAAAAGCCCTGGGGTCAAAATTGGCCCCGCCCCTGGGGTCATTCATTTTCCTTTTATGTGTATAGCAAAAACTTAAAAAATCTTCTTTGAAAAAACTCAAATAGCTAGAGTTTAGATATAAAGCACAAAGCTTCTTCATAGTGAGTGTCTACAAAGTTTGTTCAAATAAAAGCCCTTGC